CCTGCTTCAACCTGCATTCCATGGTTCGATGAATAGTTTTTCTTTTTTGCTCTTGGAAATAGAAAAGACACTGAGTTGTTAATGCTTCAAATAGAAACAATAGTTTCGAATTTTTTAAAATACAATCGTAATTTTTACAATTAAGTGTTATGTAGTCTCTGACTCCTAGTTTTAGAAATTATTTTTCTTTTTTGCAGCAAAAGTAATTATGCATTAATATTTCAATAAATTAGAAATAATAGACGCTTACTGAATGTTCAAACAAATAAATGAAAGGGAGACAAATATTCTTCTTTTGAGATAAGTATTGTACAAAAATTCTATTTGTTTCCTAAATTTTTGTTGGTGCCACTGGAAATAATATTTTGCTGAACCCTCAATTGTTTTATAAATATATATACCTGNATATATATATATATATATATATATATAACCATAGTTGAACAGCGGACCTAATTTTTGGGTTTAACGATTACTAATGTTCAACTCCGTAGCCTTGTATTTTTGAACCCAATCCAGAAGACAAGGTAACAAAAGTTAAATTTGCCTTCGTGGTTGACTTTTTGATGAAACTAACCCGCATTTGCATTAGATGGAGAGGAAGACCACGAGAACTTCCCAAGGGGTGGCCTAACGGCAAGGGGACTCTATCCCATGATCCGTCTAACACTGAGGATATTTCGCGTCAGCACTGTGGTCGGTGCAAGCCACATGCGGAATTCGTATCGACCAGCCATTGTCGGGATTCGAACTCGTTCACTTCATTTAGTTTTATGTTTATGTGAATACTTTTAAGTGCTTTTAAAAAATATTAAATGCGTGGTTAGCGTTTACCAATGACAGACTTATTCTGCCAACAGAAACTTACGATAATTTATTTTCCTTAATGTGTTCTGATCTGATCTCATTGGATTTCTGACTTTAAAATTGTCTTTAAAATTTTAGGATATTTAGCTTGAACAAAAATAATCCGAATTTTATTTATTCAGTGATTAGGTAGAAATAATTTTTGAAACATTTTAGTTGGAAATATCAACTATTTTGGATTCATTAACACGTTTTATAATAATGCTGTTAATTCATCTGGCCAAACTATTAGACGCACTTTAAGATTCGATGTAAAATCTTATTTATATAGATGATACAGCTTTATTGTTTTTACGAGAGTGTTTACACTTGTTTACCTTAGCGTATCAATTTTGTAATGCAATACGTTAAAAATAAATACACATAGGAAGTATATAAAAAAATCTCCCGTATTAAAAACCCATTACATGTATGTTTAAGTATAAAAGTATTGCCTATAAACTCGTACAAATCATGTCATTATTAAAACGCTACAGTGCGTTGAATAATTTCATGTAATTATTACAATATGATAATATAATACCTGATATAATAAATATTCTATATTTATACCGTCTAATGTATGGAATCGTTGAATTTATATTAATATTGCCTAATTTAACCCATTGTGACACGAACGTGCAAACCGGTTTCTGTCCCGTGAAAACAAAGATGTATAATGATAATTAAAATTTTCATAGAATCTTATAGTGTGTCTAATAATTTGGCCAGAGACTGTACTGTTAATATATTGCATCAAATGATTTGGCAAGTAAATATTTAAAAAATCCTGTAATTTAGATCCTGTAACAATGAAATGCTTAATATAAAGAACTAAAATAACTTTTGAAAAAAAAGGGTTTAAAAAAAACTGTTTGTAGCCGATGAATGTTCCTTTTTAGTACTTAGAATACAAATTTTAACGGTGAAATAATTTGCAACAATTAATAATTTAAAGGTTATGATTTACAACAGTTAAATAATGGTACGCGATAATTATATTCAGTGACAGCTTAGTGTATGTTGGCAGAATGTAGAGAGCCAGAAAAGAATGTTTTTCTTATACAGACGAGTGACGCCTCATTTTCAATCTGTTCCATCGTGGGTCATTTAATCTAAACAATCGCCATGCTTTACCGTTTCCAATCTTTCCGGATAAACACAAATCTGTTGGCAACACTCCAGAAAAATCTGCCCACACACTCGCTTCGATGTATTTTTTCCTTTCATTCAAGACATTTAGAAATTATTATTTTTATAGTTTTTTCTAATTAAATAAAACAGCGTGTGTAGCGTTTTTAAAAAGTGCTTGAAGGTGCTTATTTTTGATTTACGGTTTTTAAAAGCCCTTAGAGGTGCTTTTTTTTATTCGGGGCTTGTAAAAAGTGCTTCATTTTTTATCTTTTAAGAAGAGATTTTTTATTTGCCGTATCAATTTTTATAAATTACAAAAAAAAAACATGATTTTTCACAAGTTTTTCTGTAATATTTATCAGAAACTAGTTATTTTATGGTGGTTCTGTAAAGTTTAAATTTTGTTGATTTTATGTTTATAAATTAAGAACTTTAAATGATAGATAAAAAAATTATTTTTATTACTGCACGGAACACAGTTATGATTTTTTTTGTTTATGGAAAGTGATTAAAAGCATTTTTTGAGTGCTTAAACAGTACTTAAAAGGTACTTATTTTTGTGCAAAAATCTGACTACGCACCCTGATAAGATATTTTGAAATGGAACTAATATTTTGTTGTCACGTTGCAATTAATATGAAATAAGATATTTTCGAAACTTTTTAATCCAAGAAGTTTCAAATAATATTGCACTTTGTTTATTATTAAACTAAATCGAAATCTATAAAATGTATTTTTTTAAAGGAGACAATTTATTTGAAACTTGCAATAATATAACAGTTTAAAAAGTTAAATAAAATTCTGAGCCTAAAACTGTTTAAACTAATAAAAATAGTCTTTGTAGACTACAATTTGACTAAATTAAAAAAAAACACCATGTACTTTAAAATGTAATGAGGTAGTACCATACAAAACTTAAGTTATGCTCATATTTCACATCTAAACTATTTAATGTTGTGTTAATAAAGTTAGGATTTTTCATAGCTACTTTGGGATTATCCCATCTACCATTTTCGCCTAACTCGATATTATCGCCAAAAGGTAGCTTTGGCGCTAAAAACCGCAAATTTTATCAAATTTACTGCGTAATCCTTGTCTAAGCGAATTAAGTTTTCTTTAGCCTGTTGATATTCAAAAATAATAATAGATTCAAGAATAATTCAATTAGTAATTATAAGCATACAGAGATTTTTACTTTGTTTTGATTATTTTTATAACACTTTTTATGAAGTATTTTTACACTTAAATTTTTTTTTTTAGTATTTTATTATTATTTGATAAATATAATGTGTTTAGAATATTTATTTTGAAAATTACTTTTCATTATGATGGTACAGTAGGATTTGCGTATTTTCGCGAAGGTTGACTGATCGACAGTATAATCCCAAAGTACAGGTCGAAGGGATGTTCCCAAAATACAGGTTGAAGGGATAATCCCAAAGTACAGGTCGAAGGGATGTTCCCAAAATACAGGTTGAAGGGATAATCCCAAAGTACTGGTCGTGGGGATAATCCCAAAGTACAGGTCGAAGGGATAATCCCAAAGTACAGGTCGAAGGGATAATCCCAAAGTACTGGTCGAAGGGATAATCCCAAAGTACAGGTCGAAGGGATAATCCCAAAGTACAGGTCGAAGGGATAATCTCAAAGTACAGGTCGAAGGGATAATCCCAAAGTACTGGTCGTGGGGATAATCTGAAAGTACTGGTCGTGGGGAAAATCTCAAAGTGTAGGTCGAAGGGATAATCTCAAAGTACAGGTCGATGGGATAATCCCAAAGTACCAACGCACGTAATTACTTCTCATTCCTCTTTGTTTATTTGTTTTTCCTCAAATGTTAATATTTTCCACAAAAGTATGGAAGATATTTTTTTATTTTGTTGATATACTAAATTGTAGCTAAATAGACGATTCCCAAGATTTAAAAAAATAACTATCTTTTCTCGAGAAAAGAAAAAAAAGAGAAAAAAAAAACCTAGCATACATATTGTGGGACTTATGAAATAAATATGAAGTTATTTTGCTCGAAACTTTTAATAATTCAAATGGGAGACGATTTTCTTTTCGCTCTTTTTAATTTTATTTTTAAAAAATTCTATATAAATGCTAAGATATATATCTGATAACTTGCAACCACACTTTTGATTGACATCTACTTGACCTGGAAGCTTATAAAATAAAGATCTCGTGTGGGCGAAATTAAATTTCTACAACATATATAAATAGTCAGTATTTAAAGTAAATGGCAGGAAAAAAAAAAAACTCTGATATTCGGAACAAATTGGAATTCTAAATAAAATTTGCTTTAAATTCAAATATAAAATGGCTCTTTCAGCTCCGTGATTGCATTTCAGAGTGCTGCAGATTAACCGAACATCCTATTTTTTCCCTACAAGTTTAACAATTAATAATTCTCAAACTAATTATCAAAAAATTATTAAAATAAATAAATAAAAAAATAAAAACCTTTTGGTTATGTTCATAAAAAAATATATGTTCAAAAAATTATTAATGTTTCTAAATGCTTACTAAAAGCCCTTGATGGCTCAGAGGATAGGGCCTTCCATTGAGGTAAACTGGGTTCGAATCCCAGCGATGGCTGGTCAATACGAATTCGCATCCAGCTTGAAACGATCACAGTGCTGTATCCTCCGTGGTAGACGGATCACGGGTTAGAGTCCCCTTCCCGTCAGGCTAACCGTGAGTGGTTCTCGTGGTCTTCCTCTCCATGCAACGCAAATGAGGGTTAGTTCCATCAAAAAGTCCTCCACGAATTCAAATTTTCCCAATACTTGATTCAACAGTTCTCTTGTCTTCTGGATTGGGTTTAAAATGACAGGGCTACGGAGTTGAACATTCGTAGTGTCGTAAACTCATAAAATTGGGTCGGATGTTCAACGATGGTTACAAAATAGAATAAAAATAGACCAAGGAAAAATATTCCCTATTGGTTGAAATCTATAAAAAATTTTTGGTAATCATTTAAATGAAACACTAATATTTTTTTTTTTTTGCTTCAGTTTTAGATTGAATGGCTTACATTTTGCTGAAAAGATATTAAGATCTGGTGAGTACATTTTTGGTTGCAAATTTAGATCAATTAATGCTGCATCGAATTGTATACAGGGTGATTCTGAAAAGATGGGGAAAATTTTAGGAAGTGATAGTACACACCCAGACAAACAATTTTTATCGAAGAATGCATGGTCGAAATCAAAACCCAAAACCGCTAGAGGGCGTCAAAGTTTATGTTCTTATATGAGGCAAAAACACATAAAGAACGATGAAGTTAAGTTATAAAAGCAAATTTAATGGCATGTGATTTCAATAAGTGTCCAAAACAGTGGCCGGCAGCGGCTATGCTGGTACAACGGCGAAGAAAAGATAGGCGAACTTTCCCTGCAGCGGCCGAAAGCTTGGCGACAAATAACGTAGCGCAGTAACTCGCAATAGGAATGGAGCTTTCTCGTTTGCATGAAAAAACTTTCCAAATGCGCCAGCACCTTTGCGTTTTGTTTTCGACCATGCATTCTTTGATAAAAATTGTTTGTCTGGGTGTGTACTATCACTTCCTAAAATTTACCCATCTTTTTAGAATCACCCTGTATATATTAATACTATAATATACAGGGTGTTTATAAAGTCCCGGACCCATTTTGATGTTTAATAACTCGTAAAATAATAAAGATAGATTAAAATTAATAACATAAATGGTTAGATAGACTTAAAAAGTTTCATGAATCTTGTTAATGAACTTCCACGTGTGCCCCCTTCGTCGCACGGAGAATATCAAGTCGATAGTCAATTTCACGCCAGGTAGCGGCAAGCATGTCGGCATCCACAGAGGCTATTGCGGTTGTAATTCTGGCTTTTAGGTCATCAATGTTCGACACGATCCTCCTGTAAACATTGTCCTTTTTAAATCCCCAAAGAAAAAAGTCCAGCGGCTTTATATCAGGTGATCTGGGTGGCCAAGGAATTGAACCTCCTCGCCCAATCCATTTTCCTGGAAAATGGTCATTCAAAGAACTACGAACGATGATACCGCAATGGACCATATTCTTGCGAACGAACGGTGCACCATATTCTTGCAAAAAGACATGTGACTGAAGCTCTTCTAGTTGTGGAAATACGAAGTTTTCCAACATGTCTGAGTATACGACTGACGAGACAGTCTTTTCTGTAAAAAAGATAGGCCCAATGACTCGGTCGTGCATTAGTCCACACCACACATTAACCTTTGGGGAATCTCTTTGTGTCTCACGGTATTCATGGGAGTTTTCAGATCCACATATGCGCACATTATGGCGCATATGCTGCATACATTCACCGACAGATGTGTGAAGTGTACGAGGCTTCCCTACAGACATGCTGACAGGAAATTTTGACGATGACTCCCTCCACAATTCAGTCTCGAACTTTTGGCTGGGACCCCACCCCTCAATACAGCCCAGACCTTGCGCTAAGTGATTTTTCATCTTTTCCGATGTTTCAAACATCATTTTGGCGGCAACCAGTACAACGATGACGAAGACGTGAAAACGGCCGTGACCTAACAGTCCTGATTAACTGTTACGAACTCACAGCAGTTACGAAAGAAGCTGATTGGGCCGTGATAGGTAGGGCACTGGGCCCATGTCCAAGAGTTCGTGTGTTAGACGAAGATGGTGACTGATGCACGTTAAATCTGTCGAGTCGCAAAGTTCCTCATGTTCCCGTAACAAATCCATACCTCTGGGGGTAATGATGCAAGAGTTCCTTTGTCTTCTGGATTGGGTTCAAAATAACAAGGAGTAGAACATGAGTAGTCGTAAACCCAAAAGAATTGGATCTGCTGTTCAACGATGGGTGTATATATATATATAAAAAGAAGCAGATTATTCACAGAATAAGCGTTATTTCTTGTGACGTCAGAGCATTCGAAAATCAGGCCAAGATTCTCTTCAATTTGGGACTTGGTAAACAAAACTGCTGAAAGTTGGAATTTGCTTTTGATAAAGTGAAGGAAAAAGAACGAAAGAATATTTGCGAGAGAATTCTTTTGTGAGTAAAAAGATCTATCTCCGATAAAAAAGGGTGGTCCGGCCGTTGAAATAGGTGGAAAAGTGTGGATTATTGGCAGGAGGTCGAACCGATATCGGAGAAAGCTTTTCTCTTACACTGTTTGCGAAAAGAATCTATAGTATCGAACGAAAAAAAGAACCGTTCAAGAGATTAACGCCTCACATCTATAAGTCTCGTTTGTTTTGTACTTTCTCTCTTCCTCCCCCCCCCCTTTTTCTTTCAACTTATTGAACTCGCTTAAATTAAATTTAGTCCTTTTTTTTCTCTTTTTATTTTCCCGTGTGTCCGGTTCAGTGATTTTCTTGGATTTTTCCTCTACCAGTTTACTTTTCAGTGACATTTTTCTCTTTCATTCCATCTTTTTTTCTTTTTTTGTTTTATCAGAACTATTTGTCGCTGATAAAAGAAAAAAGAGTGAAAACGATATTTATTATTTTCACGATTCTTACTTTAAGGGAGGGGGGGGGGTTGTAACTGAAAAGAGGAACATTTAGAAAATACTCAAAGATTATAATTAATTAGAATTGAAGAACGTCTTCTGGTTAAGTCTATAAAAATAAAATTTAAAAAAAAAAAAACTGTTTTATTGTAAAAGCAAGCTATTGGTAATCTGCTAATGGGTGCATCTTTACAAAATAATAGGAACATCGCTTATCATTTTCGCATATTTTTTCGTGAATTATAAAAAAATGTTAATTTCGTTTTTTTTTTCCTTCTCGTGTCAACTCTTGAATTCTAAAAAAAAAAAAAAAATTTTTTTTTAGTTTTTCCTCTTTTTCGTTATTATCTTTTGCATTATAAAAAAAAATAGTTTTTCCTCTCCTCGTATTATATCTTAAATTATAAACAATGTCTTTTTTCCCATTCTGGTATTATATCTTCAATGTTTACTTAGTCTATTTTCACGTTCTGGTATTATATCTTGAATTATGAACAATGTTTACTTAGTTTCCCCCCCCCCCCATTCTTTGCATTATATCTTGTTTACTATCTTCTCTTATTATCTCAAAAACTCAATCCCCGTAAACTAAAGCATTTTTAAACAATGAATAATTTAAGAAAAAATAATTGCGACGCTAACCAATTGCCACCCTCAAATAATAAAATAATTTTCAAAACCAAGAAGCTAATTAAAATAGTTAAATCAAAAAGTAACATAAAGTGATAACATATAAAAAAATTCAAAAGGTAGGAATTATTTCGTCAAACTATTAAAAAGTGAGTAATTTAAACATCTTTCAATGCACATCAGACACGTGACCAGTTTAATAGTTTCTGTCCCATATAGTGCTCTCTGTCATTCTAAACTCTTTCAATTATTATTCCATTTAACTCATTATAAATACTAAACAGAGCGGGTGGAGGTCTAGCATAACATATTTAGAGACATTATGACTTTGAGAGTTGAATAAACTTCATTTTAACTTAACAAAAATAAATTTCGATTTTCCTGGTGATAAACTATTTAAATTATTGGTGTTAGCATGATAATCAATCATTATTTGTATATATATATATATATNGAGAGAGAGAGAGAGAGAGAGAGAGAGAGAGAGAGAGAGAGAGAGAGAGAGAGAGAGAAAGAGAGAGAGATATATAGAGATATATTGATATAGATAGATAGATAGATTTAAAATTATAGTATAATGCAACGTTGTTTATTCTTAGATTTCTTTTTAATACAATTTATAAAAAGTAAGATTCTCAAAGGGGCCATCTGAGTGCGTAAAGACGGTACTATTCATTGTTGAAAAATCGCGTCAGGGGGGGGAGGAGTATTAATAAGTGAACAGTAACATTTAATGTATGAATCATAAATATAAAATAAAACTGCGTCAGAGAGTGAACAAGTCCAAGCAGACCGTGGAATAAACAAAGAAGCTAATCTTTTGACGCAGAACTTTTATTAAACATTATTTTTTTCTGTATGTTTTCTTCATTATATTGTATTAATATAGCTCTAAATAAGTGGAAGATTTTATATTTAGCATTTTTATAATTTATCCTTGTAAAATAGACACCGGTGTCTATTTCTACAAAAAATCTTTCAAACACACTTCCAAACAATAATTTTTCAAATTTGAAATTATTTGCTGTTATTTAGATTTAAGAGAAACAGTTACTCATCATAAAAATTTCTTTAATTTACGAAATTAGTTATTGAGGATTTTTTAATATGAATGAAAAAAATTTTTAAACTACTTTTTTATGGGTTTTATATTTTAGTACAAATGCGATTCCGATAATCTAATAGATTTTTTTAGTAACTATTAAACTGTTTTTTTTATAATGTAAAAATTCCAAAATATATTTGTTCTCGTTCAGTCCCTGATCAAATTCTTAGACGCACTATAAAATTCTATGTAAAATCTTAATTAGCAGGTGATACTATATAGCTGTATTGTCTTAACGCGGTTTGCGCTTGTTTACGTTCCATTGGTTAACATTGTAATGCAATACATTAAAAATAAATAGCGGTAGCGCTTCGCGCTGTCGTGCCACAGGTCCTTGGTTCGATCCTTGGGCCGGGCAAGGCCGACTCAGCCTTTCATCCCTTCAGTGGGTCGATAAAATGAGTACCAAGCATGCTTGGGAACTAACACTGGGGGTTCCGCGTTCGGCTGACCACCTGACCGGAACATATGCTCCTGCACCCCAGAGCCCAAGGTCAAGAAAACTGAGATGGGCACAGTCGGCCTTGGCCCTCTTAATGGGCTGTCGCGCCACTGAGTTAGTTTAGTTATAAACTTGTGCAAATCATGTCATTATTTAAAAACTCTAGTGTGTCTCATAATTTGATATAACCATTACAAAATAATAATATAATACCTGATATAATAAATATTCTATATTTATATCGTCTAATGTATGGAATCGAATAATTTATATAATATATCGCCTCATTTAACCCATTTTTACACAAATGTAAACAAGTGCAAACCGGTTTCAATCTCGTAAAAACAATAAAACTGTATTGTATATACTGATAATTTACATGGAATC